TATGTGTATGTGTATGAGTGTTGATACCAACCGTTAAGCAGCAGTATCTCACAAATAATTAATCAAAGAGATGTGATGCGGCTGACTGGCTACACATGTGCCGTTATCTTTCCATGTAAAACAACTATTTGTGTGTATATGTGTGTGTGAAAGAAATTTAAAAGCTCCCTCAGCACCGCAGCATTTTTGCTTCAGTTTAAGCAAAATGCATTAAAAATTCTCATTGTCTTTTATTTTTCATTTTCTTAACCAGCCACTGTGTACAACCTTGGCGATGTTGTCGCTGTTGGTGGCAGCCTCAGTTGGTTGTAAATTAATGTTGCTAATGAAAAAAGTTTTAAACACATTACAAGCAGGTGGCAACATACACATGTACAGGTGCTGTAAAGATACCGCTAAGTAACATATATATAATATCTACACACATATTTACATATGGTACATACATATGTGCATTCGACAATCATCTGAAGTGCTTGGCGGTGGCGTATACGCAACATTTGTGGGAAAATATTGTTTGCGAATTTTAATGTTGTTTGTTGTCAAGAACTTTATCGAAATTTACAAGTAGGTATCTTGAAGCTGCATTAAAAATTGAAATAAAATAAAATAATATAAAATGTGAGAGAAAAGAATCAAATCTCAAGTACAGCTTGACAGTTCAAGGGCGATGTCCTTCATCAGCATGTCGCTTGTTAAATGTTGTAACTTTTCACCTGATGCCGTGAGGCTTTCAACATCGTGAATGTTGCTTGCACATTTAGATGGTTAAGAAGAAGCAGAAATGTGCTGAAATGTTTGGGCACGCCCACAAACGCCTGCGGAAAAAATTAACATAAATCTTAGCCGAACTTGAGAGTAGCTTATTTATGTATATGTGTACGAGTTTATAGCAAATGTATGCCAAAACTTTAGCTAAAATGAGTACAAATGAGCGGTTTGGGAAACGTACTTTTAAAATAGACCACTTGCAAATAGAAACTTTTTCAAAGCAGTCACCTTGCTTTCGAAAAGAACAAGAAAAAATAGGATACTACATTGAACTGAGAATTTTTTTTTGAATAAAAAAACTTTTTTTGAAATGCGCTTCGGAATTTGTTTCAAACTTTGTGTTTGCAATAGAATCACGGCAACGGTATCGTTGAGCATGTTGCGAAAGTGTTTTGAAGTCATCGAAAACTGGCTACATGCGAGTCGTCAAATTACCTCTGTTAACGAAATAATATCGTAATACTTAAGGTAGTAGCCTGGTATCTTGCATTTTTAATGCTTTTTTGGAAATATTTTTTTGGCAAAAGTGTTGGCATCAGAGAGATAGCAGAGGAGCCCAACATCGCTTATGAATTGACGAAATATATTTTGGTTAATGTTTTGTGTATGAAGCTCGTCCATGCTAAACTCGTACCAAAAGATCTGAACCCTTTGAAAAATTACGTCAAAGATCGATCACAAAAGAGATGCTGGCAATGTAGTAATCATAAGGATATCTTTAATGAAGACAAATCACATTTCATTCGTTTTACTAAGTCATTTGGATAATTATTGCTGTAAAAAACGCAACGCTGAGATTTGCGCAAAACAAATGGTGCGAGACTTTAGTTAATTTTAACTTTTAAATTTATGTCAACCTTTCTGATCAACTTTAAGCGCAGCTATTGTATGACAAAAATAAACTAATGCATTTGGCAGTCTGTATTTGAAGACTTTAGGAATTTTAGACTTACTAAGAGTCAGCCAATAGCTTGCAGACAAGCCCCTTACCTGCACAAAATTTCACATTTTTCCTTCGTTCTTCTTTTATTCTACTTATACATATGTATGACATTAATATTTTATTATTCTTATTTCTTTGACAAGCAATTCTTTTCGTCTAGGTGTCAAGTACGTGTCAAATTTACTATGTTTAACGTGGAATGTTTAGTAAAGAAAAAAAATCAAGGTAAATTGATGTGCGAAATATTCCACTGACATATTCTTGTCGTCAACGTGGACATGTGACGAGCATATGGAATGCTGGTAGGCTTACTTGAATATAAGCACGTAGCTCAAATTTCATTTAATGTATGTGCTATATACCTGCTTTCACTCACAGATATTCGAAGAACGTTTGTGTAATTGCCGCTGGTGCTTTTCTGTACACTTCTTGTACGTGATCGTGAAATTAAAACGCCAAAAATGTTCAGGTGACGTATGAATTTCTACAGAACGCGAGTCTTCACATTTGCTCTGGAATATGTGACTTATTAATAAACATATAAAATATTGTAGCAGGTAATATAACTGTACAAATGTGCTGAGAAAATCTTAAATTTAAGAAAAATTCAGGTTTAAATATTCAAGTTGAATTCAGCACTTTTAATGGGTAAAATATTATGCGTAATTTGATCATAAGGTATTTTTGAAAATTATATTAATAAGCTATTGACAGATTTGACAGGAAATATAAAATATTGTCTTGTCTGGATATTTTTTTTAGTCAAATAGACATACTACTTTACGAAAATAATTTTTCGCGAAATCCGATAGTTAATGACAAAAATGAACATTTAAAAATATGGCTAATACCAATTACCGAAATATAAAATAGTATGAAAAATTATTATTTTATGCTTTAAATCTTAATTTCGCAAAATAATATGTCACAACGCCCTACTTCAAACTGCTACGTACCTGGTAAAATAGTAGCGTGTGGGGCAACAAAATGCTGTATGTTAGTGTACCGGTCGTCTTTTTTTATTACCTAGTAATATTACATTTACACGAGTAGACTGTTGACTAGTTTCGGTTCCTGTGCTAAAATGCTTAGAAAACGCATGCTTAACACTATATAAGAACTATTTATTTATAATAATAGAAAATATATATATTTTTTTTTATTTATAAACTATTATTATAAAAAAATATTATGTATTCAAATTAATAACGTTAAAAATTTATTTATTTCATTTGCACTGAATGGATGTTTTATTGATTAGAGCGATGAAAATTTTCTTTACCTTTCATTTAGCACCAAAATTATGACAATCGGTGCATAATTGGCGGAGTTATACCGAAAAAACACTTACATGTTCTTCATCGCACAGACACACACACACACATGCAGCGTGGTCGGTGGGGTGTTTTAACCTTTTGTTAAATACTTGATTTGCACGAGGTGCCCAGAAATACGCAAAACACAGCAGGCTATCACAAAAAGTAAAATTTTGTTGCATATCCCAAAGGCGCAAGTATGCAACTTCCTTAGGCTACTGGAAATGCTAACACATTTGGCTTAGTTGCGCATAACTAAGACAAAACCCAATTGTTAAAAATGAATTTAATGTCAAATCAAAGATAATATCCTGCTGCTGCTTCTAGTTTTGCTAAGAGCATTCTGGTTAATGCAAAACCTATGTTTATATACCATACGTGTTTACATAATTTTGAATGGTCAAAATTAATGCAGAAACAATTTTACTGTAGTCACTATAGCATTGTGTCCTGCACTTTCATTTGACATCTCAAACACCGTTAACTATACATATTTGGCGAAATTATGCTCATTTAAAGTTGCCTAGTCAATACTGCCGGTGGAGTGTCGAATTTCTTGCGCCTGTGGGGTAGGCAACGGAAAATATATTTTTTCGGCGCAGTCACCTACTGGGCATTTTTGTGCGCCTGGTGCAAATCGTTAATTTGAGCAAAGAAATTTGCTGCGTGTGTCGATGTGTATGTGCGTGCTGATGAGGTTGGTTGCTTTAACTTGACATAACTCTGTCAAAGATTAACCGATTTTAATTATTTTAACGTCAAATTAAAGGTCTGAATTTGGTGCTTCTTATATATAATTAAATACTTTATTTTTTTAGCTTTTAGGTGAGCATAAAAATGTTTGAAACTTGATCTTAATACTACAAGTGTACAAAGTACCAGAAGTAAGCAGTAGGTTGCTGCAAAATGTTTTTTTCGAATTTTCGAGGAGAAAATTGGTGGAATAGCATTTTTCTATAAATGTTAACATAATTAAGCTTATCGTATGGGCTGTATTTCTGCGTATTTTATTTATTTATATTTATAAATTGACTTTTCAATAATGCAGAACAATTCGGAATTCCTATCAAAAGTATGTTAATTACGAGTAAATTGTGGACGTTACTTTTACGTATATACGGCATACGGTAAGTAATGCAGTTTGGTCTCATTTATGTACCGTCAAAAGAAACCCTTACGATTTTCGGTAAAAATATATATTACCCCAAAAAGTATGCTACGTTTAATCCAATAATTTGCTCAAGCGGCAAACCAGCACAATCTACATATTTAAATAAACATTTTTTTTTTGTTTTTGTAGTCCAAAAAAATTGAAAAGTTACGACACGTTTCCTTTCATAAATTATTATTCTTTGCATGGTAGGAAATTGGTTTGGTTTGAATTATGGTTACGCAGATGAAATACTTACCATATTTCCATTTCATTTATTTTTTTATGAATTGGCCGCTTTCTGTTGAAATATTTTCTTAGAAGTTTTTCTTCTTATGAAATATTATACATTGTATGTTTGAAGAATATTTAACGTTTGTTTTTGAAATACTTACGACTTTTGTTGCAGATTATTTTTTGTTTTTATGATTTTTAGCTTTTTTCAAATATATTTCTAAATTTCTACACTTGTGTTACTCACTTTTGCTTGTCCACTTTGTTGAAATTAAATAAAATTTACAGTTTTGTTTTACATTTTAAATTTTTATTTTTTTTCTTTATTAATTATTATAATCGTAATTTTATTAGCAGCTATTTACTGTTATTTGGTCACTTCGGGCTGAATTTTGTTAGCCAAAAACTGAGAATTTTTAAATCATTAAATGTCTAATGTCACTGCGTAATTTTTGAGTTTTTTTTTAAATTAAATTTGCTAGTCTTTTGTTATTTTTTAAATTTTATAGTTTTAATTATTTTATATTTTAGTTTTATAATTTTTATTTTCTATTTTCTATTTTTTAATTTTATTATAATTATTCTCTTTTTATTTACTTTAGCTTATGCTTACATGCTACGTTATAATTTTAATTAATGTCTAGACCTCATTCATGCTCATAATTGCTGGCGCTTAAGTTTCCTTCAAATGTTTACAGTTTTTACAAGTGTTGTTGTTTGTCTGTATTTATCAGCTTCTATTTGTTTGTGTGTTTTTGTGTATCTTTTATATACATATTGACATGTACTGCCGCTGTTATATGTGTTTGTTGTTGTTTATTTGGCTGTTTATAAAATGCTGTTGGCTTCAGCTGCTGTTTGCTAATCACATTAAATAAATATCGCTGGTGCTAATTTACACAAATTTCCTTGCTAAGGTCTAATGGGTTTATATTGGCGTGGAAATAAAAAAATGGAGCAATTTAACAGTTTTTGGTTTTTTAATAATATTGCATGCAAGTGTTGGTTCTATGCATTTGTGTCGTGAATCCTTATATGAACTTGTTTACACAAATGCAATGTTGTTTTGTTTTTGTTTTTGTGAATTTGTATTAAAATGTTTACCGTTACTTTTTACTCTGTATTTGATTTTTTGTTGCACATTTCTCCTATAAATTTACATTTAAATTCATTTTTTGCCTGTAAACTTTTTACAATGATTTCTTTTTTTGTTGTTTTTTTGTTTCCACTTCTCTCTTTAATCCGTGACAGCTTAATTATGTTTGTTTAATGCAATTTAGCTTTAAAAGTTTAAAAAATCTCTAATCTATTTAATATTTTACATTGTGGTTTTTCTCTATGCCAATATTTACAATGCCAGTTACACATACATATATATATATATATATATATATATATATATTTATATAAATATCTGCTATGCGCCTCAATAAAAGTTAATTATTAATTAAAGATAAGCCGATTTGCATACATACATAGTTATTTGCTTATTATCGTTGCCAAAATATATATGCGTTCATGTGTGTTATGTAATATATACTCAATTAGTATTTTTGATTTGTTGTTGTTCGCTATGAAGTGTCTTTTTTGTCTAAATAAATATTTTATTACGTAAGCCTTTTTTTTATTTACTTAAATTTTATCTTTTGCAATGCAGCAGCGCATTATTCTAATTGAACATATTTCAACTAAAGCTAAATACATTGAAATTATGGTTAAATTTAAAGTTTAGCATTTATTGCATTTAATGTAAAGCCTATTAAAGAGGAAATACTTACAAATTTTGTTGCTAGGTTATCACTAAGCTCTAGTTTTCAAAATTGAAGCTCATAGACTATTTAACTATACAAATATTTATTTCATGATCTTTTCGAAATGTGATAGGTATGCGATCAATATGCTTACATCGAACAAAAGTGAGGGGAAAGACGCTTTTGAGTTGAAGTTGAGGCAAATTTAATGAAGAATATGTTATTAAAAGTTGAAATATAAACGATAGAAATAAATAAGAGTGCTGAAAAATGCTCTGAAAATACTACTCTCACATGTCAATGTAAACCACTTTTCGACTTCGACTTTTCTAAATTTAGCGAACCCACTTTACTCCAAGTGTGAAATAGCAACAATAGAGAATGTTGGTTGAGTCTGCGCACTGAATGAGTAACCACAAGTTTTAGGCTTGTGGCATAAAATACTAAATGTAGATTTTGCTGATATCTTTGATAAAATAATAATGCCAAACTGCTGAGTATTTCTCTGATTAAGATGGTTTTCCATTAAATTGAAGTTATTATGTTGCCTAGTTAGAATGATGAGCTTTTGGCGAGTCACGAATGATGTGTGTATGCTGGCGTTGTCCTAATGGTGTATAGCGATCTTCTATTGATCAAAGCTGGTCGCTGCTGGGCGGTTGATTGTTTCAAATGATACAATTTTTGCCAGTACAAGTACAAGTTAAGAGTTTGGCAGTCGACCACGACTCACCTTTCATCACCTGCAACCATCCGTGTCAGGAATGGCTCAATTTTGGACTATAAGAACTATTCACTTTTTCAACCTTCTGGTTTGGGGCTATGCCTTTATCGAAAAAACACCATAGTATAGCTTAACTTGTGTTCATCTTTGAGGTGTGTTGGTGCAATACTGCCTCAGTAAATTACAAAACTATCTGCGCAGGTTTTATAGTACATTAACTTACTTTTTCATCACCATATAGCGTAACACAATCGTACTTATACAACGCCAGCAAAATATTACTAAGCTATATGTTAGAAAGATAATGGACTTCTTTTACTAGACTAATATATGCTACAATCAAATAATTTAGAATCTAAACTTCAACTGAGGTCATCCTTCTTGGAAAAAGTTTCAAAAGAATGGTTTGACAATCAAGTATAGTGGCACTGATTACCTTGAATGTTACAGTAATGGAGTTGCTTGAATAACGAATAGTAAGATAATGCAAGTAAATAAGAGTGCAGAACTTTTTATCGAGCTAAAACAGGAAAAAAACTAGTTTGTTATTATTGGAATTAATAAATATATAATATATAATATTAATACCTACAACGATAAACTCAAATGTAATATATCAGCAGCTTTTCTAAAATTAAATATTCCTTTGTCTAGTAAAATAAGAACATCCATATCGAAGCTGGAAGTTTGCCTCGTAATTGTCTTGAAGCTTTTAACTTAGAGTTTACTTCTTATCACGCTGCGATCATACAAACATAATTAGAACGCATTGAATACTAACAAAATAATATAGTTTAACATATATAGGTATATGCCTTAAAACTATGAAAGACAGTTACAATTCAAGTATAAAATGTTTTCTTTAGTATTAAAATATTAATATTTCCGTAACTATGTATACTATGAAAATTTAGTAACGATAACACCTAGAGAGTGACGAATCGAACGAGGTATTGGTAAGTTAAATTAATTGTACGCACGAAGAGTGCTCCAGCTTAAATGGCGCACGATTAGAAACAAATTCTTGGCAGAAAATAGGTTAGCTGATGTAAATTTTTTTGAAAACAGACAACGACAGGGGGACGGCTGATAAAATGGTGGTAAAAGGTATACATGTATACATTAGGGTGGAGCGAAAAAAAAAATTATTTTTGAGGGTAAAATTTGTAGATTAAAAAAAAGAAAAATTTTTGGAAAAAAAATTGGTTTTAACATCTAGAGGCTTACGTTAAAGCGAAATTTCGAGTTACAATTTTTATTTCGTAAAAAAATTTTGATAAGTATTCTAAAAGCTGTGGAGAGCACTCTTTCTGGATAATTAAAAGTTAACTTAAAAAAAAATTTTGGGGTCATTATTGGAGTTTTAAAAAAAGTCTTTCCTTAAGCGTTAAAATAAATTTTGAGTCAAAAACCGTCAAATTCGGTTAATTTTATATACATGTGAAGAGTTTAAATAAAAAAATATTTGTTTCCGAAAAAAAATTTTTAACTCGAAATTAACTTTAAAAGTGAGTAGGCCGCTTTTAGATGTTAAAACTAATATGTTTTTTTCAAAAAATTTTCTTTTTTTCTAATCTACAAATTTTACCCTTAGGCTAAGCAAAAAATAATAAAATTATTATAAATAATAAAATTTTTTTTTCGCTCCACCCTAATATACATGCATGACGTCTATAAGGTATCATTTCAAAATTAAGAGTTAACATACAGGAAAATTTTGCAAGGCTTCTGCGCTAATTTCATAGTAGCTTCTGAACTATTGAATAACACTCTTTTAAAAGTTTTTATAAACTTGATCTCGACTGATGCAGTTAAAAAATTGTCTTGAAATTATATTACAAAAAAAAAACCTTGGAACATACCTAGAGTTAATAACATAAGAAAGATCTTGCTCCGAAAATGATGAACTAGTGCATAGAAACTAGCTAGTCCTAAGACTAACGTTCATCATTGAAATATTGTAGTAATTAAGTGTTTTTTTAGATTAAAATAATGACACTTTTGCCAACAAGAATATCTTGTACTGGTTTGATAGGAATGAAATCAACTTTCCAGAGAATTTTGACTATCTGTCCCCGCTCACATAGGAGTGGGAGCAGGTTGTACCTCGGTTGTCAACTTGCGCTCTACCGCGGAAAGCACTTTGTCGCTTTAAGAGTGTCCTATGATCAATTATGGTATATAGAAGGCGTATTAAGCTGTCCAAGTGCAATCGCTGTTAGAATCTAATCTAACGTAGCTAAGGAATAAACGGAAGTTAACCAATGGGTTTTGACTACTTAAAGCTGACAGAATAAGTATTCATGTATGAATGTATATCGCATATAATTAGTTTACGAAAACTTAAATCTTATGTCTGCCAGAAGCATAAGTTCTAAAGTAGTATTAAACATTTTTCAAATTAATTTTCTACCTCTAATCGAATTGCAACTGTTCTTTTAAGCTGTTTGTTATACTAAATATAACAGTAATATTTTATGAATGCCCTACTTTACGAATATGAAGTTGAAAAATGAATACTAGTAGCATATGAGACACGATAATAACTTACAACTGCTTATGTGCTAGATAATATTAGTTGAATATGTTGCTTACTAATAACTAAACTATGCAAACGTACTTACTAGCACTCTCTTATTCTCGCTAACCGTAAGTAAGCACTCTTGTATAACTGTGTATGTTACAACGCCTCCGTATTTACACCTGCGTGCCGTAATACTACAGCGACACATACTCCGCACCGCCACCCGCATCTGCTACTTTCGTATTACCGCTCGCGGTTGTTGTATGCGCCGCGGTGGGTTTTTGTTGTTGACAGTCTTGTTGTTGTTGTCCCTGCTTTATACTGCACGCCTCCTCAATAAAACGTGTTTCATCCTCCAAACATTCCTCGTCCGCTTCATCGGGCAGCGAGAGTGTCGAATTGCCGCTCGCCGTTATACGTCGACCCATGTTGTCGTACTTTAAGCCCGCATTACCGGACGCTGCTGTACCACCGGCGCTGCCTTTGCAAAGCGGTCGCAGCGGTGTGGCATCCATCGTGGTGGGCGGTGTGCTGCAGGAAGGCGGTGGCGGTGAGAGCGTGCCTATGCAGGCGGCACAGGCTTTGGAGTTGATGGCAGCCGCTACCGCCGCCGCCGCTTGGTTGTGATGGCACTGTGCTGACAGGTTCGCTGCGGCAGGCGGTGGTGGTGGCGGTGGCAAGCCAACTATATTGGCGGCATATGCTTGGCGTTGCTGCTGTTGCTGCTGCTGTTGTTGCTGCTGATGTTCTTGATAGCCTTGACTGTAGGTGGTGTCCAAATTGTGATACGAGACGATTTCATCGTGTGGATACAAATTCGTTTGTTGCTGTTGTTGTAGTGAATGCTGATGCTGCAGCGATGAATCCTTCTTGAGTATGCCACGGCGCTGATGATTGCGCGGTAGCGTCGCAAACGAGGACACATTAACGGCCGTTGTTGTACCCGAAGGTAACATTGTGGTTGTTGTGGCGTTAGTATTACCGCCAATAGTACCGCTGGTCACACTTACGCCGGTCTGTACAGTGCTGCCATCGGCATTCAGTTGACGCTTCGGTATATTCAAAAGATCGGGATACATGCTTATATCCGCGCCGTCCAGCATATCCTGCGTCACCGAGACGCTGATAAAGATATTACCGTACGCGGGATTGGGCACAATGTTGGAGCAAAACTCCGGTGGTGGCGGAAAGACACCCACATTCAGTGGGAACTCCTCTGGTATGGTACTCGGATGCGTCGAGCCAGCGACAACTGATGCCATTGAGGTTGGTATGCCGACTACGCTGCAGGAACCGTCGGCAACCGCCATCAATTGCTGGCGATTCGGCGCCATTATTGAGTTTGGTGTACCACTGCCGCTGCCACCGCCCGACGCGCCTGCCATATGCGCATGATGTTGTTGTAGCTGCTGTTGATGCGCCTGCTGATGCGCCTGCTGATGCGTCAGCTGATGATGATTGTGGTTGGCGCGCATATTCTCTGTGGCATGTATTTCGATTGGCTCGAAGCCGATTACCGATTCTGTTTTACTCATTGTTGTTGTTGTATTGTTGTCCATGATACAGCTGTCACCGCGATCTGCTGTAGTTGTCGTTATACTCAAATCGAGCAACTTCTTTTCTTGATCATTGAAGCTGACACTCGGTTTTACGCCGGATTTCTTCGGATGACGTCGCTGCCGCGTAGTGCGTTTGCACAGACACACGACAAACGAAAAGAGTATAAGCAGAAAGATGGTGCCGAATGTGCCCATGATCAAGCCAAAGTACCAGAACGTTTCCGGTGTCTTGACTAACACATGTTGCACAATTTCTGTTAGATAAATGCTGATATTTTGTGTTGCCACACCCACCACATTCGAACCAATACACGCATATGTGCCTGCATCCAGGCTGGTCATATTAAAGACAGTCAAATTACTCCAGAGTTTGTCCGACGAGATCGACTCTGCGTCGAAGATCACATTGTCATTATCCAAGATTTTGCCATTCAGTTCCCAGGTGACCTCAGGTAATGGGTCACCATATACCAGACAGCTGAACGTCGTATTGCTTCCTATGTCTATATTCTGTACATCTTCATTGTTGAAAAGCTCCACTTTGGGCATGCAGCCGAATTGCTCCTCTTCCACATTCTCCCACTGCTTATCTTTCTGCACCGGCGGTCCCTTACACAGCAGACTGATGCTGTTCAATTTGCTCTTCACATACCAGTTGCGAAATTTGCGTAACTTACAGTTACACTGCCATGGATTCTCATCCAGAACGAGTGTCTTCAGATTCGTCATATGCTGGAAGACATATTCACTGAGGCTCTCCAGCAAATTATTTTTCAAATAAAGAAACTCCAAGAGATTTAGATTCGCCAAAGCCATGGGATCCACATATGAAATCAGACAGTTATGCAGGTCCAATGTACGCAAATGCGGCAGTATGGGAAACTGATAAGCCACCAGCTTCTTCAGCGGATTACCATTTAGATAAAGTATGCGTAGGCGGTCGTTACCCATAAATGTATCTTTGTCGATCATCTCAATTTTGTTGTCTGACAGATCAATCTCCACTAAGATTTTCAAATTGCGAAATGTCTCTTTGTGTACATATTGCACCTCAGACTTTTTCAGATAGATGCGTTGCAAGTTCAGCAGACCCAAATTGGTGAATTCCTCTCGATTTAGATAGGGTATGTGGTTGTCGTTTAGTACGAGCACTTGTAGTTCTGTACTCAGCGTTGTTGGTATGGCGGTGAGTTGTAGCGAACTGCAGATGGCTGACTTCTTGCCATTCGTCCACTTACATGTACAGTTGGAGGCACAACTCGCCGACCAATCATCGCCGGCTGCATATGGCAACAACATTAGTAGAATGTTGAGCGCAAGGAAAACTGTTTGAGGAAGAAAGGGTAGGAAGAAATATTAGTTATAATAGTAGTTACACTAGAAAAAAATATACATAAGATTTTATTAAAAGTGGCTTGGCAACTTATAATACTATGCACTGGCTTCTTTTTGAAGTTAAAGCACATAGTATCGAACTGCCGGGAAATTGGAATATATCTGTTAAAATGGGACAAAAACCAATCACACAAGATGTGAATTATATGGATGTTAGATGAAAATATAATTTTAACTTCGAATATACCTGTAATGATTCCAAAATAAAAGAAAGAAACGCCACCATGTATAAAGGAAGAAAGAGATGTCCCAGCAAGACGATACACCATGTCATAAGTCTATGAAACCGATGGCAAGTACATGTGTATGAATTGGTAATCGATTTATTTCCGCATCTAACATATTCTCTAGATCTAATCACTAACATCTGTTTATTCTACTCATATCTCAAGAGAATATTCACTGGAGAGAAATTGGTATATAAAAATTGGAAGATTACTATTTATGACGTATCGTCGTATTATCCGATCATGTGAAGTGAATTATATAATGAAATGGTATTTTGTCAACAAATATGTTATCTAAAAACCATAAAAATTTTTCAGTCTCTAGAACGATTTGCGGAAAATGTATAACCAAAACAAGTCTCGAAAAGCTAAGGAAATGCAAAGAGGATTGACAGACATTGTGACCAGAAAGTTTCCGACAATTGTCATTTAAACTACCCGCGCTGTATATTTTTCAGCACTTTTTGTTTGTTTAGTTGGTAGCACTGTCTTTAATTACTATGCCAAAAATGAGCGCGGTCTGTCAACCAGTTTGTTTGCAGCAGCTGTTGAAATCAGTGAACCTCAATAGTGTTTTGCGATTTTTACAATGGAAAAAAATATTGAACAAAGAATTTGCATCAAACTTTTTGTTTCGAATCGAATTTCGTGTGCGGAATCGTTGCATATATTAGAAAAGGCTAATGGTGAATCTATTTTATCGTTACCCTGGTCTCCAACTGGTAGAAAGCCTTTAAGGATGGTCGAGAAACCATCGAAGACATGCCTCGTTCAGGTCATCCTTCGACGTCTTCCACTGACGATAACATCAGAAAAGTGAAGGAAATCGTGCTAGAAAATCGTCATGTGAGTGTTTGGGAGATATCATGTAAGCTAAACATCGGTCGTGAATTTTTGCAAAAAGACCGCACCGAGCTGTAGCTTTGAACAATTTTAAGACCAAATACTCGTTCAATAAAATAAAATTCGCAGAGGGAACTGATGGCGATTTTCAATGATTGGAAAAAGAGGTCTCATATGTGTATCGCTTCAGAAGAAGCATATTTTGAGGGCGGCAAAATAAATATTAAGAAAGATTAAAAATTTTTCGTTTTATTTAATACGTAAGCTTCGACAGCTAAGTGGCAGTAATAGCGTTGAGCTCATAAACTAGGCGCTTAAAATTAGTCAAGGAGTATCTATATTCACTGGAAATGCTGAGTCTGATTGTGACCTGATATATGGACTCGCTAATATCTTTATGTGTTTTTCAAAGTAATTCTTCAAAAATTTGTTAATTTATATATTTTTAGAATTTTTAAAAAATTTTTATAAAATGTATTAATTTTAATAATATAAAAAACTCATCAGAAAACGCTTTACTAACTATATTTTCCCACGTACAGGTTCAATACCTGCATTTCGCCCACATAAATCGCTCCACTTCAATGCGGATTCCGAAAACATTGTGACGTTTGGCATGTCAATGGCTCAGCAGCTATCGAACAAAAAGGCTTTTGCTTACGTCATACATAAATCAGTGTAAGTGCAATGTTGCAATATGTGCCACACAAATATGCAAGCGTGCAACACTTGCCTTAAGCTCATACAACGGGTTATATTAACACATATGTATGTATGTATATGTAACGGTACACGCACTCACCTGACAAGCAAATTGCAATACAATTTCTGCTCATATTTGCTGCGATTGCCTTTCTGCGCGCTTCAATCGAATGGCTATCGCTCAAAGTTATTGTAACTGCTGTTTTTGTTGTTTTTGATGCTGCTGTGGCACTACACCGTAGTGCTTACTGTTGTTGCTGTTGCATATATTTCACCACTATAGCTGCTATTAATGGCAACTCCCGCTACGTACACACCTGTTCCACTAAAGATATTGTGGGTGTGTGGGTGTGTGTGTGCGGCAAGCCAGCGATTTAAATGCGTTGCCGACACAGCAGTTGACGGAAGTTGCAAGAAGCACAGCGAAAACTATAGCAAGAAAAAGAGGAAGGATATGTCACAATCAAGAGCGGCTGTTCGTTCGCTCCGCTCTGCTGTATCACGGTGCGTATGAGTAACTTTAACGCAGGTATATTTGCCTGCTGTTGTTGACGGGACGTGTGTCCTTGTCGGCGCTCGACCGGAAATAGTATACCAGCGTTTGCTGGCGATATCAGCAAACTAATGTGCCAATGCAATGCTTTTGTTGTTGTTGTTGCTGTCGTTTGTCATGCGAAACGGCTGTGCCGCACCGAACTCGCCTATTGGCAAACGTATGCCGTTCAAGCTGCTGTCGTCGTTTGCCTCGTCGTTTTTGTTTTTGTTGTTGCTCTTGTTGCTGTGGTTTTTCTCTCTTTATTTGCCGTTCGGTTGCTGCTGCGGCATGTGTGTTACCATAAACTGGCGTATTGTGTCGTTGTTGGCGGCCTATACGTTGGCAGCTGGTCTGTCTGCTGATACCTTTGCGCCGTTGACGAAAATTGATGGACTTTGCTTGCAACGCTGGTAGCGCACGCTGTGTGTCGTCGTCGTCGTCGCCGTCGTAGTTGTAGTAGTAGTTGTGGTGCCACTGCTGCTGCTGCTGCTTTTGCAACGCCTCCAACATCACTGCCAATGCGTGGCTGCTTTTAAGCTGCCGCTTGCCGCTGGCACTTGATACCCTTTCGCTGTTTTGTATTCAGTTCGTCTGCGTTGGCCGCCAGCTTTGTACTTGCTGCTGCTGTTGCCACTTCGCATTTGGCTTGGTGGACATTTAACTGTTTGATTGTTGTTATTGTTGTTGTATTTTGCAAATTCGTTCTCTACTTTGCTTGGCTTGTTTCAGCGCGTGTCGCTTTGTTGCTGCGGAAATTTTATTATTTCATTTGTTTTCGTTACTGTCAGCCAAGCTGCCACACTGTTGCAAATGCGTTTGGCTCGCTATTTTAATCTTGCCCTTTTTGTGTAGCATGCCACATGCCGTCCTTTACTTAACACCGCGAGCTATAGCAACACAGTTGTTGCTGTTGCTGTTGTTGTACACGTTTCACTTCGATTGTTTGCGATCGCTATTGAGCAACTGAATTGGCAATTTTTCCTCCATTCAGTTGCTCATTCACACGTTCACACGCAGCACTGTGCAACACCAGCTACAAATACTTTTTTTGTTCGTTTCCTGTTTATTCGCTCAGGTGGCGTTGTTGCAACATCTGTGTGACGCAAATGTATTTGCACGCAGCTGCTGGCATTGCCGTTGGACGCTGGTCCGTTATATTTGTTACACTTGAACGCACTTCTGGCTGGCACTCTGGTGCATATAACGGGTTTCTGTGCTGTGACTCCTTTCGGTGCGCCTAAGTGTTACTTGCCACCTGCAATGTAACAAGAGAAAATGTGAAAATAATATATAGATTGCGATTGGTTGTTATTGTTTTTGTATTAAGCACATGTGATGTATTGTGCAACACAAGTTTTTCATTTAATAAATGGTTGTTGCATATTATGGGACACAATATGCGCATGCACAATTGAAGCGTAATAACTAGTATGTATGACTGGTTAACGGGGTGAGGTAAAGCATTGCTGGCGTCACGTCAGAGAGCTGATAAGAAGTACAATTGATTACATGCAAAAATGCGGCGAAAAAGTATAAAAAGCAACATGTTGCTAGTAAAATAAAAATTCTTCTTACGAGATATCCTTTGAACGACTTTGAATGCGTGGCTAAAGCTTCTGTGGGTGTATGGGTTCCAGGGGTTAGGAATGAAAAAAAACTAAAAAAGAAGCGTGTCTGTTAACTTCGGCTGCACCGAAGATTTAATACCCTTGGAAGCTATATACTAAAGTGGTTTGATTTCAGCAATATGTTCAAAGATTGTAACGTTGTTTTGGTCAATAATGTATGCCAAATTTCATGAAAATATCGTCTCAAATATAAAAGTTTTCCATACGAGAACTTGATTTTGATCAATCAGTTTGTTTAGCAGCTATATCTTATAATGATTTGATATAAGAATATCCGATAAATATATAGCTTCTTAGATAGATAAGGACATGTGAAAAACTACATATCAATATCTCAGAAACTGAGAGACTATTTCACGTATATACAGACTGAGAGACAGGCAGAAGGACATGGCTAAATTGACTTAGCTCGTAAAGCTGATCATTTAAATATTTATATATGTATACCTTACAGAGTCTTTAACTTTTCCTTCTGGGTATTTTTTGTAATACCAAATGTAGTCGAAATTAATCTAGTTGTATAGTTGATTTACAATTTCGCCAAAAGACGATATATTTATGTGATATTATTGTATTTGATAAAAAACTTCTTCCAAATCATGAAAGTATTTCTTGCCTTTAATTAATGCAAACAAAATGTCCGACTGTGACTTAACTTAACCCTCCCTAACTAGTTCTACTTTTTTCCTCGTCTTACCGTCACCATTCCCAATACTAATCAAATCGAATCTAAAATTTAGTTCCGGGCGATACTACGGAAGAGTATGTAAATAGCGTGTATGGATAATTCAGTAAGTGAACTCGTTTCAACAGAAGAAACTCAACACTTTTCATTGCAATACTTCATACGACTCTGAAAAATGCTATTCAATATTTCAATAATGTCTAAGAAATCCAATTGTTCTCATATGTCTTTTCCAATTTCCTTGCACTTCTTGCAACACCAACGTCTACTTAAACTCAATTGCCATACAAACACAAATATATTGAGGCACTGCATGCTATGGCTTATCAAGACATACGAGTGTCTGCGGCCCTCATCTGTTCCTAATATTCAGCAAACAGCGAGACAATGCCCACGCATTTTTCACATACTAGCCACAGCATTGTATAATATTTTTCACACAACAACAAGACAGTGGCCACAATAATGCGCATTGTGTTGCAAGTGTTTAACTGCAATGTGATGCGAGTATTTCTCAACTATGCGCCGCTTGAAATATTGCAGTCAATATGTGGTCTACTGCTACTTATTATACTTGCGGATGACTTGCGTATGCAGGCACGACAATGTGTGGGTGTGTTGGTGAGTGTGCGCTCAGTGGTATTTATTTGATGCGTAATTGAAATGACATACTCGTAATAAATCGATTGCATTTTATCAGCAAGACTTATGGGTAGTTTGTAGTTGGTGGCGAGAGCAGTTGCGTAAGAATAGTAAAACAATGGAATACGTACAAATGCCAGTGGAATTGTTGAAGGTGCATGCATTTAGATTGGAAATTAGAGCTTGAATAATAAAAAAAAGCTGGTATACAAGTATAAAGAGCTTGAATTGAGATTGAAAAGTGTTAAAAAAAAATAACCCTTGTATATTACATTTAAGTTTGCCATAAAGCTTGTAATACTCAGAAGAAACCGTCGGCGATTCTATAACGTATAAGTATATGGTAAATGTAAATGATCAGCATGACAAACTAAGTCGATTTAGTCATGTCCGTCTGTATATACGAGAACAAGAACCTCAATTTTTAAGATATCGATCTAAAATTTGCCACACGTGCTTTCCTATTTAAGAAACTGATAATTTTTTGGTATTGTCGATATTGGATCGCTATAAGTTATAGCTGGCATAATAACCTCTTTTTAATTATTATGAAATTTGACATAAGTTATTGTTCAAGAAAACAGCACAATCTCCGTACGTATTGTTCAGATTTAACTACAGTGGCATATAGCTGTCATACAAACTAATCGATCAAAGTTAAGATAATAATCTATTTATTAGGGGGGAGCGAAAAAAATTTTTTTTTTTTGGCTTAGCCTGGGATAAAAATCTGTAGGTTTAAAAAAAAAAATTTGTTGGACAAATTTAAGGGAATTTGCAATAATCAAAATCTGGGTAAATATTTTAAGTATATGAGATAAGATAGTTATGTCCGCCTTCAGCAGCATGAATTGCCGCCATTTTGTTTTAAAACTCAAGGGTTCTTTTTTCAGTTTTTCTCCTAAACTTATTTTGAATTTTTTTTCGTACTTTTCCTGTAATAGAATCTAAAAGTTGGGCGATTTTACGAAATTTTTGAGTGGCGTGACCCTTTAAAAGCCTTAGTCGAACTAAAGCCTAATTTTAAGTCAGATCCACAGATGATAACTCAACCTTTTTCCTATCGATAAAAAATGTTTGAAAGTTATCGCATATATCGTTTTCACACAAGCGCTTAAGCATATCTCAAACGGAGTAGTTAATGAACCTAACCTTCTCAACCATTATTGACATCATTGAGACTGAATCCAGTTACTCAAAAAAGCTTCATAATTAAGCTGAATGTAAGCTGATTTGGCTTAGCCACGAAAATCCGCGTTCTGGTGATTCACTGAAATATATCTGGCAGCCCTATAAAATTTCTACCGATTGATACTTTGTTAATCATTATCTGAGTCATTTAATCAAAAATAATGACCTATAATGCTTACAATAATATAAGACATCAGCCCAATCCAACCAATGCTATTAAAAATACCAAAGCCTACTAATTGATTACAGGATCTGAACTTTTTTTCGGTTCGATAATTGTCAACTCGAAAATATGTCTCAAAATTATGTGAGGAATGTTTTCAGTCGCTACGATAACAACAAAAAAACTGCTATTTTATGGATCCACTGATTCTTTCAAAATTTAAAGTTTAACTAAAGTGCTAACTAAACTAATATATAGTACTTTTAAGACTGTTAGAAGGCTCTCTCTCATAACCTTCACTAGTAGTTCAATCCCCGCTTGCCAATGCATTATTTACCAAGTGTTTTCAAAGTGTATGCAACAAACATTTGTCAGCAATTTATATTTCTATGAAAAGTATAAAAATCTAATGAACTTACAAGAACGGCACTTTGTTACAGAAATACTCTAACCCTGCACCAGCAACAATAACAACAGCCATAACCAACCATAACGCGACTAGGAAGAACAAGCTCTAAATGACAGCAAACAGTAACTTAATTAAGCAAAAAGTTTTGGCAAAGAAAATTAAGTGACAACGACAGCAGACTACTCAAACACATACCTCTACAACAATAACAACAAGAACAACAAAAGAGCAGATCTAATGTCATTACAGCAGCTGCGTGGTAATATAGTAGTTCCATGAATAAAACAAAACTGACATACCACTACATTCGCAAAGCACACACACACATACACATACGCACATATATAGATATATAAGTATAAGGTGGCTGCTGGGGCAACAAAGCAAACGCTGCGTGTAGTTTTCGGTTGTAGTGCGGGCGGGTGGACAAATGGCTGCTCAAAGTGACAGCAGTATTTAATATTCAGTGGCACAAGTGTGAGTTTATTTCGTATTCCACATAAACAAATAATTGTCAAGTGCATTTGTCAACACCGAAATGGCGTGTGACGGCAACTACGTGGGTGTGTGTGCGCGTGAGTGGTAGTGTGAAGTGTGTGTGCTTGTCTCTGCAGGCGAATAACATGACAGGCGGTTTAAGTGTAGGCCAAGAGCAGTTGGAAATGCATGAAGTTTGTGGCAAGAAGTCAAGTCAAGTTGTTTGTATTCCTATTGTTGTTGGTCAGGTTGATCTTCTGATTATTTGTTGAGTTGGACGGTTGAGCTGCACAACTGCCTCGTTTTCTTGGTTAGTTGGTGTCCTTTTTCTTGTTGCCATATTTTATTTCACTAACTGCAACCGGAAACGCAATTTGTCAGTTACTTAAGCATAAATAAATTTGTGTATTGGTGTTATGCTGGTGCGAGGCTGGTGCGAGGGTTCTCATGTTTGATGAATGGTTGAAGAAGAAGAAGAAGAAAAAAGTAAATTTATGGTAAGGTATCTTTCTAAGTGAAATCATACGGAGTCAAATCGAGAGAAGTGCTCTTTGATTTCCAATGGCTTCCCAACCCAAACAAGAATCGAATCATCATCTGATATATATATTTTAAGTTTTTTTTTTTTTTTTCGTACTAGTTTCCAACCCCGGGAAGCACACAAAATACGTGCCCGATTTGGTTAAAGTTTTGACAATAGCAAAATGAACTACGCGATAATAAATCTCTTTTATATAATAATCAGACGGTGAGGTTAAAAAATTATTCAACCACCCTCGTACTTTTATACAGAACGGATTTCTTGTGGATGGATTTATTTGTTTTGGAACTGCTAATAAACTCTGTTTGGTTGATTATCATTGTAAACTAGTACTTGAGCTAATGGTGGCAATAAACAGAATTTTGATTTCCGATAAACACTGATATAGTCCGGTTATCAATATTTATCAAAATATTTTACTAAAAATCGTAATTCTGTTAATTATGTATATAGTCCGATTATCAATCTTTATCGAAATCGATTTTTGGAAATCGAAATTCTGTTAATTATATATATATT